TTCAATCGCGCGCACTTTGCTTGCGTCAACTTGCAGGCCATCAGCAGAGATGGTGTGGCCCAGAAAGTCAACCTTGTCCACAGCAAACGCACACTTCTCAAGCCGCGCATACAGTTTTTCCTTGCGCAGGACTTCTAAGACAATGCGCAAATGTTGAGTGTGTTCCTCCATAGACTTGGAGTAAATGCAAATGTCATCCAAGTACACAACGACAAATGGGAACTTGTCGAAAAGTGAACGCATGAGGCGTGACCAAATTCCTGGCATCCCAGCCATCCCCATCGGGGCAACGCACCACTGCAATATCTCCTTATGCGTGCGAAATGCCGTGTACTTGCGTGCATGTGGAATCACAAGCATTTGATGGTACCCGGACGCAAGGTCGATCTTTGTAAGGACCACGCATCCAAACATCTTGCTGAACAGGTCCTCGATGTTGGGTAGTGGGATCTTGGGGATTTCCGACTGAGAGTTGACATGCCTGTAGTCAAGAACCCAACGGATTGGCGTGTTTGCCGTTGCCGTCTTCAACCACATTTGACGTGACGGCATCTTCCCGTTCTCATCCTTTTTGGGGACACCAAAGATGTTGGAAACCCAATCACTCGTGGACAACTCAACCCATCCTTTAGCCTTCAGCTTATCTACGAACTTGTCCAGTGACTCCTGTTCGACCTTTGCGAGTCGAAATGGTGCGCGATTCTGAGGCTTTGCGTCCGGCTTCAACTTCAAATCAAACTGCACCCCACGTTCCGGTGGCAACCCATCCGGGAGCTCCTTCGGAAAGACGTCTTTGAACTCGTCGAGTACAGCTTTGATCTCAGCTGGGTACTCTTGAGGTTGCGCTTGGACATGGCAAAGCTTCATGATCCATCCTGGTGGTTGTTCCACAGCCGACGCATTGGCATCCACTACCTCGTCAACCGACATGATGTCGTGCTTGCGCCAATCGATGACTGGATTGTGCTTCTTGAACCACGGTTGGCCCAGGATGACGTCAAATGCTTTGTCCTTCAAGTCCCATTCCGTGAGCTGCGTGTCATGAAACGTGAACGTGCCAATCTGCACCGTTTCCTTCAATTCGCGCGTCTCTGTCAGTGGTGACATCAGTCCGTCGTAGCCCGAGATGCGAACAGCCTTGGAGCGAATGACATGTTTGCCCAACCCGACTCGACAGAGCGAATTCGTTGCTCCCGAGTCAATAAGAATTTTCACGACTTTGCCATTCATTACGCCAGACTTTATCATTAATGGCGCTCTGCCGCTCTCCGGACTTCGTCCGATTTGTGCTTTCGACACCGCAACGCCTTCAGCACCGTTTTCTTCCATGGCGCCAAACGTGATGTACTCCACATCTTCATCGCTTGGCGCTTCTTCGACTTCTAGGTTGTTTTGCTTACATGGAGGTCCATCACCCGAGATCTTCTTCTTCGCCTTTTGGCACGCAGACGCAAAGTGCCCAAAACCTTGGTAATTGAAGCAGCGGAACTTGCTGGGGTCCTTCTTCCGGGCTTTTTTTGCGAACGTTGATGTTGTCGACCTCCATGTCCGCCGACTCGTTCGACTCTGGAGGAGCAGGAGGTGGATCCTTTCTCATCTCCGCTCGACCACCGCGGATGGACTTGTCATGACGCTGCGACAACGACACCACATGTGCCCGCTCGTACTCCAGAGCTACCTTGATCGCACTCGTCAACGTCTTGCACTGCCGGTACTTCACTTCCTCCCGGGTTTTGAGCTTTAAACCACGGGTAAAAAACGTCACTTTGTCCAACTCTGACATCTCTTGAACGTCTGTGCACACTCTGCGGAACTTCTCCACGTACTCGAACAAGTCCCTGCACGAGCGCTGCTGAAGTGTAAACAAGCGATCCCGCAAGCGCTCTTAAAGATCATCAGCCTCGAATTCCTCACACAGTGCTTGTTCGAAGTCGACAAGAGTCCTGAAGCCACCATTGACTCGTCGCGAAGCCAATTCCTGGTACCAAGCCGCAGCCTGTCCTTGGAGGTTCGCCACAACCATCGCAAGACAGCGCGCATCGACCTCTTCGTTTTGTTCTTAGTTCAAGTTCTTTGCCATGAAGAAGGTCTTCACACGGTGGATGTACAGCCCAATGCTTTCATTAAGGTACCCATGGTACGCAGGCATAGACAGTCCTTCTACTCGTCGTTCCGTGTCCCGTTGCTGGTCGACCGGTTGTTGGCTCGCCAGTTGGCTCATTGCATCCTGCAACTGTTCATGTAAAATCAAGTGCTGCTCTTGATGCGCTTGCTGGTCCCTCATCATCTGCGTGTGCGTCTGTGCTTGAGCTTCTAGCAGCTGATTGATCATCTTCTTCTGCTGCTCCATCGCACCCATCATACGCACAAACGCTTCCTCCATATTTTAGAAAAAAGAAGCACTTGATTAAGGATTAGCAAAAAATTCGGCCAATTCTTCTTGTTTGCTGAGCTTCGGTTTCTTCTCAACAACCGGAACCGGTTTTGGCAAAAGTGCGGTGTTGATTTCTTCTGTTGATTTCTTCTGCCAAAAAACTTGACGCAACTGCCAAATTTGTCTGGACTTCAACGCTTTTGTCCAAAACGCACTTAATCCGGATACTACCGACTATCCCGATAAGTCGGACCAGATCCCGCTTGAAACGCTCGTTGACTCGCTGCGTTGTCCGCGATGAGCACAATGTCAAGCAGAGCACCAAAGTGCTTTCTGATCGCTCGTAACATCTCCCGCACCCACTCATTGCCATGCTGTGATTTGTACGCGCCACGCTAGTGCGTTTGTGAAAATAGAGAACCCGGAAAATTGTTGAATTCAATACATTGGTGTCGTGTTCGACAGTCAACTTCGCTCTGATCTCCTCCAGGGTAATTTGACAGTCAAATTCGATCCAGGAGGAGACCTAATCGACATTTACTGGAGTTAGGAGGCGTGGTTTGTACCCCATATTTGAATCACTGAATAAACGGTGGTTTGTTTCCACATACCTCACTTCTTCGGGGCGAGATCCAGCCATCCTTGTGCAGTGTTCTACTTCAATCCGTTCGCTCTGGCTACGTCCACCCAGTCCACCCAGTTCTGCGTGTGGAGGGTGTTCCATTGTCATGCCGAGTTGCAAACTGAGAGAATGCACTTGAGCAGAGAACTATTACATGGTTTCGAGACAAGTCTTGTAGTTTGCGTCTTCAACGAAATCGGTAGAACATCATTTGAAATATATTGAACAGCGTGTGAAATATACCGCCTGTGGGGTGACAGACATATACTGGACACTGATCGAAATATACTGCAACGATGTAGGGTGTGAACAAAATAAATCGAATGTTCGGCGAACATAACGCACATGGAGTTAATCAGTTGTGCATCGGACAAAATATACCGAAAATAATTTGAAAACATGCACATGCGCAATATAATTATTTCATCTGCAAAAGTAATGAAGTATCCGGAACTGCTCAATTTTCACATGTGACACGGGGCGATTTTTTTAAATCAAGTCCACAGAGAGCGACAAGTAGTTAAAATATTTAACTATAATCAAAAAAAAGGTCTAGTAATGTACGGTAGTAGAAGTTAGCATGATATTCCGACAAGATACTCATCCCAACAACGATTCTATTTGATACTCCTAAGTACGACTCCCTCTGTCCCAAAAGACTTGCGTAGTCTTGGGGAGGGGGGAAATGACTTGTCATTGCATTTGCAAGTGATTTTCAAACTTGTCTGTCGTCTGCCCTTTGTTGAATTTCACGTGTTTCATTGGTCCATAGAACAAGCGCGCCAAGTCCTGTCAATTCATGTGTCACGAGGGAAAAATACATAGGAACCTTCTCAGAAGTCGCTAAAAATTTTCATACTTACAGTTACTGTTAAAATCATATAAATTAGTGACCAACATTCATAATACACGAACGAAGACCGCCAGGCCATCCTTCGGGAGATTCTGCTCCACAGCAGTAAGACCTCCTTAGCAAGATTGCCAAACGGCATTGCGCAGGTGCTTGCCAAAATGTACAACTGCCACCACTCTACCATCCACCGCGTCTTTGCTCTGGCAAAGCAACATGAAAGTCTGGGTTGCCAGCAGAAAGAAGGGTCGGATGGGTAGGAAGATATGCCTATACCCCCGAGCAGGTTAAGGCGAAGCTACTGCGAGTGCCGCTTGCTCAACGCACTACACTGTGTTCAATCTCGGAACAGACAGATATATATCAAGCGTAAAACTGCAGCATTGGTCAAAACCGTGGTTGGAATAAGCTGCGGATCACTGCACCGCTATCTCAAGCTCGGTCTCTTTCGTTCCCACTCGAATTCTATTCGTCCCAATTTGACTGACGCCAACAAATACAGCCCCATGAAGTTTGCCTTCGACAGGGTGCACTCGAACATAGAATTCGATGACATGATGCAATACGTCCATTTGGATGAAAAATGGTTTTACCTCACCAATACAACGAGAGGTACTATCTCGTTCCCGGAGAGAAGGAACAACAAAGGATGGGCAAATCAAAGAGGTACATTATCAAAATTATTTTTTTCAGCGATGTGGCCCGGCCTCGGTACGACGACGCAACGGGAATATGGCGGGATGGCAAAATTGGAACTTGGCAGTTCGTTGAGTCCGTCCAAGCCAAGCACGACAGTGCCAATAGAGCTGCAGGGACCTATGAAACCAAGGCACTGACCGTGACCAAGGATGTCTACCGCGCGTTTTTGATCGACAAGGTCTTACCGACGATTGTCTCCAAGTGGCCATGTCCCAACCGGCTGATGCACCTTCAGCACGATAATGCGCGGGCTCATGTCACCCCCGACGACGCAAAGATCTTGGCTGCGTTCAGCAGCTACAGTACAACTGGTTGGATGTTCTCGATCAAACCACAACCTCCCAACTCACCCGACATGAACATCTTGAACCTTGGATTCTTCGTCGCCAGCCAGTCGCTGCAACATCATAGGTCAGCCCACAAGGTGGACGAGTTCCAGCTCGTCGCCAATGTCCATGCAGCGTTCGATACGTACCCTTTCGAGCGGTTGGACCGTACGTTCATAACCCTCCAAGCGTGCCGAGAAGATGAAGTGCTTTGGCGACAACGCCTACAAGGTGCCTCACCTGTCCAAGGTCAAACAAGCGCGGTTGGGACTGCTGCCTGAAAACGCCGCATGCCCTGCGGATGCCTACGACAATGTCAAGCGTTAACTGGATGCTGCCGTGGACTGCACCGTCATGGAGCGAAAGTTTGAAGAGGAACTGAACGAGGGAAGGAGCATGCATGAGCTGGCCCAAGAGCTCGAACGCATTGCATTGCCCTATGTGACGACGAAACGATGGATAAGTTGATGGGTGAAGTTGGAATTGATCCAATCAGCTTAGATAATGATGTGTAAAGCATACCGGTGAATGTTGCAGCTATTATTTACGGGTAACTTTGCAAATCCGACACTTTCATCCGACAACGATATGATTGGTCAATCCCTGTAAAGTTGCACCGGTAAAGTCATTCGTAAAGTTACAATTTCAGCCTGTTCCCTGGACAATCAACAAAACAATCACAAGAGCGCCCGAAGCATCAAAGATAGACCAAATTGTAGCTTGCGCGTCGTTGCACTCTTTCCACTATTCAGAATGGCACAATTCACGCTAGTTCTCCTGCAAATCAGCTTCAAAGAATTGAAAATAAAAAATTAAGCCTTGCAAGGCTGGGCGCTATGCGCCGACTCGCTACGCTCGTGAGTCGCTTCGCTCCGTTATTACATACACTATGTATTTCCCTTACAATGTACCTAGCCGCTTTCTATTACGGACCTCGCGGAGCGCCGCGTGTACGACTTCGAACCCTGAATACACCGCTTCGAACTACTCGTACGATTGGTACTTTTCAAACGCAGAGGCCAAGGTGAAACGCTCGGAGTACTTCATCCGATCAAGATGAATCATGTCGCTGTTGTAGTCCTTGAGCGCGCAAATCAAGATAGCGCCAGGATCACCCACAAACCAATGTTGCCACGTTTGCAGCCCCGAACGAGCTGTAGGTATCGTCTGTTGGGCAACAAATCCATCCATGGGCAGTTGCTTCGTTGATTTTGGTGCGACAGCTAACTTACCACCACTGCCTTCCTGTAGACGTTTGGCCACCGCTTCGCCGAGCTCGTCAACGGAGAAGGGTACCGACCCACTGACACCACCAGCAACCTCCGTGCCTGTCTATTGCATACGTTGAAGGGTAGCCTCGGTGCGGAGCAGGTTTCGAGGGTCGATCTCGCTGCTCAAACTCTGTGTCACCCCACTCGCAGCACGTCTTCGCGTCGGCCCATCTGTACCAAGCCATCAACTCACGGAAGTTGAAGCGTCGCTCGTTCGACTCATACACACGGTAAAATGCTCCATCTCGACGGAGACTGTGGAGTGATACACCAATGGGAAGGTTCGGTGTTGCGTTGACGATGTTGCAGATCAGCTTCCTGAGCGTCGACTGTTCCATGGCCCGATGCCAGTCCACACGCGGGACACCACCTTGCTGGATTGTGAAGTTCGGGAACACAAAGGTACTGCTGGCGACGTTCGAACTGGACGCTCGCAGGGTTGCCAGGTACTCGTAGTGGAAGGTGCACACACGCAAGCAAGGGTATGACGTCTCGTCGATGAGGTGGTATATCTGACAATATTCCGTAGACGCACGGACAGATACCGACCACTGCCATCGGACACGAGTTGGACGTCTTTGCGACGAAGGTTCAAGACCTCGCTGATACGATAGCAACCAAGAAAAGCGACCGGCAAGAGCAGACGAAGTAGAGACCCGACAAAGGGATGCAGTCCGGACAGCCCGTTCATCAGGGTTGAGAGTTCGTGCACCGTCAACGGGTGAGCTTTCTTCTCTTCGTCGACATTGTTCTTCTTGTTGAACTTTTGTAGCCCAACGATGTACTGCCGCGAAATGGAGTCCTGCGCGGGGTTGGGGGAAACGCGCTTGCTTTTGAAGTACGCCACAAATGCGGACTTGGCAACGTCGATCGTTCTGGCCGTTAACCCGCGTGTGTACAATACTTGGAAGAAATCGGTACAATCTTCTGTACTTGCTGCCTCGAGTGCAGTACCCGCTTTATGAGCATGCAGAAAGGCCTCAAACTGTTGCTGGTATGTGTCGTAGGCACGCCTCGTGGAGGTCCCCCGGAACGAGTCTTCGATCATCTGCTTGGACGCTGGGACCACCGAGCGCTTGGGAGGCATGTTCGACAAAGACGGTATGAAACCGCTTTGCTATTATTACCAATAGGATCGTCTTATTGCGCTATGTTTATGATATGTGCATGAACGACATTACCATCGACCAATCCAATTGTGTAATATTTTTCCATCCAATCATTGCGCCTCCCATTGTCGGTCGTCCTATCCCCTGGTCAAAATGTGTCGGTTCGATGTCGGATGCCACCTACATGTGAAATTTCTTGGATCCCATGATTTCATTGGCCACTTGTATCGTTACAACTTTAAAAGTTGATGCGTAGGATAAAGTTTTGAGGTGTTTGATATTTTATTCAAGGAGCCGTACACCTTTTTTCTGATCTACGCAAGTATTGTGGGACGGAGGGAGTAGTAAGAACGGTAATTTACAGTGAAAGCGTAAGGGCTCACATATACACCTAGAATGATGACCTACTGCGTCCGTAGGGTAAGTCTTTCGTAGGTATGGTGAGGGTAACATGAACTAAGGTGCAATGCCACTTGCTCACGTGTAAACATAACTACAACGAGCAGCAGCCTCCTTATGACGGATATCACATTCCTATATTTACAGTGTTAGCAAACCTGATTAGGAGTAACTGCCGAAATGTCGGAATATGTTCAGATTCCATTCCAACAATGTTCGTCGGAATGTGTCGGAACCGACAGAATTGTGCTAGCACTACGTCTAAATGACTTAAATTGGTCAAAATGGTGTAGGATAAGTTACTACTACAATATGATAGGTAGAAATAGATAATAGAGATATTCATTGGCTAAAATTAGAGCATACAAATACTAAGTGAGGTCGGTATATTGATAATATTCATCGATAGAAAGCGTGTCGGTAGAGCAGCCAATGTCCCTGTTGTCTTGCGCCGGTGTTCACAACCAAACTACCGTGTTCACAACGGTGACCTCGATGACAACTCCAAAAGTGAACTTCATAATCAATCATATCTAAGTTCTTTCTCACAACCAATCATCTGCTACAGTCTACCTCAGCCACTATCATGCACATCCGTGTCCGGATGTTGATCATCGGCTACACACACTCACGCACGTGTAGTCGACACGAGGCTGACGCCGAGAACACTTCCCCCTACAAGGGATGGCCGCACGCATGCTCGATGTCTTCAGCCATTTCGCTCACGCCGCCTTCATTCATGCGGTCTTTGATCCAACGACGGAAAAGTACGGGCACGTCTTCATAGATCGAAATGGCCGTCTCCTGTGAGGACTCCAAATCGTCCAAGCCGTACCACTTGATCTTCAATTGCCAGACCGTATCGTGCATGCGTAAGTCTTGTATGGCATCGACGTAGAACCCTTCATCTCCAAACGCAATCTGAGCCTTCAGGTCTTTGTCGACTTCGAGGCCTCCCTCGCAGTACATACGCAGTCGACTGGCATGGTGCAGGGATATCGCGTCCGGTGGGACCAACTGTTGGACTTTCATGGGGTGGTCGGAAACCACCTTGACCACACGGTACGAACCCTTCCAACGCAGTGTCAACTTGCCAGTGTGTTTCAAGGCTCGGACCACCAAGACGAAGTCGCCCAGCGCAAAGTCAGCCAACTTGACCGTACGAACGATTTCCCTTCCGCTGGATACGGGCTTGTTTCGCTTGCCCGCGGACGTTTCAGTCACTTGCTTGTGCTTCACAGACAAGGCGTTCCCAACGTCCACCACATGTCGCTTGGCTTCAGACTGGATCCAATCAATCGTAACACTTCCGCACCTTCCGCACGGACAAGGCTAGACAGTGGCGGGGTCGCAGGTAGGCCGGTAAACGCCATAGTTGGTGCAATGCTGCCCATACGGTCCGCAGGTTGCTGGGTCAGGGCGGACTGGACAAGTGGCAGGACGTTCGGCCACTCCGTGGTCTGCAGCCGCATCTCGCTGCACAGAGACTTCAACGTCCGTACGATGATGCGGTTCACAAATCCACGGTTCCGGTCGCCCAAGGGCAGTGCAGGGTAACAAAATGGTGGTGCACGCCGAACGTACGGCCAATGGTGCTCACCATCTCGTTCTTGAAATAGTCCGACACCCAAGTCTTCACCACACCAAACAGACCGAACCATTCCATCAGGGTAGCGGCCGTTTCAACCGCCGTAACCGTTGCGCTTGCGTGCAGACGACAAACCCACTCAAGTCGTCTTTGATCACCATGACGTTCTTCAATCCGTCCGTCGCTTCAGGAAAGGAAACCCAGTCGAAGTGGATCTACTCGTTGGGACACGAGGTTACGGTGATCCGTGATCCGTAAACAGACGGAACCCGCCTGGCTGTATGAGGAGTCGCGACTCCTCATACGCTTGCAGGACTTTACCACCGCAAACGCTTCCTTCTCCACGATAGGCCACCGTTCGCTCGCGCCACGGAACGCTCCACTCAGAAACGCCAACGACTCGTACCGCCGGTCGATCGCCGCCAACGCAAGGTCCTCGACCGGTACTTGAGTCGCGATCGCCTCCCAATATCCTTCCCTCGCGTCCGTATGGAGGCAAACCATACGGTTCGGGTCTGGGCATCATACGTTTCAATGTTGACTTGATACGATCGAAACACGCCTGATGGGCGTCGCACCAACCGACGGAACTTAGGGGAGTCCGCCGCCTTGGCCGAGATGTCCATAAGTTTCGTCAACGGGGCCACCAGCTCCGTATCCTGAGGGATGTTCGCACGCATCCAGTTCGTAGCACACATGACTGTTGGGGGTCCGCGGCCGTTTGTAGTGACTCCAAATCGCAAAGGCCTTGCACTCGGCCCGGAGCATGCGCTACGCCGTCCGCGGAGATCTCCTTTCCGCATCATCTGTCTTCGTCGTGAAGAACGTACACTTGCCCGGATGCAACTTGAGACCGTACGCCTGGCATATGGTCAGTACTTGACGGAGCAAACGTAGCAAGTCGTCTGTATCCTCGGCGTATCCCAGCAGGTCGTCGAGCCAACCGAGCAGACGGTGCATGAGCATATCTCTGAGCATATCTCCGAACAGCTCGTCCGCAACGCCTTGACAGTACGCCACCGCATCCGACTGATCCATCAGCACCCGCGTTGGAGTGACAACCCTGACCGGCGTCATGAAAGAGTAGTACTCTGGGAGTCAGGGTGTAAGGGTAGTTGCCAATAACCCTTCATCCAGTCCAGAGTGAAGTACACCGTAGAGCCTTGCAGTACGGACATCGCAACTTCTAGTTGGGCATCGGCATGGCATCGGCTCCGTACACGCGTTGATCGGTCGTGAGTCGATGGTCATCCGTAGGTTGCCCTGGTCTTTCTTCGGGACGATACGGGGCGTGGTGGCCCAACGTGACCGAGTGTTACAGTACACCAAACCGGCTTCTTCAAGCTCACGTACGTGATTCTCCAAGTACGCCACATGGGTCGGTGGGTAACGCCGAAGTCCTGACATCACTGGAACGGATCCGGGCTTCAGATGCGCACTCTTCAACGGCTCCACCTTGACCGGAGGGTCCCGATCGAACTTCAAACGGAATACATCCTTGAACTCCACCAGTACGTCTTGTAAGCGTCGTACGGACTCTTCATCCTTGCCTTGGGAAGCAGCGTCGGCAACTTTGCTCATCAGCACCGTACGGACTGGATCGTCGTCGACTTGCCCGTCTGTGGGGTACGGGCCCGTACCCCAGTCTGGAGTCGCGCAGCACATCCCTTCGTCGTCGTCGATGTCGTCCACCAACGTCTCTTCTGTTCGGAGAGTTCGATGCATCGCCTCACCTCCGCGTCGCCATCGATTGGTCGGCAAAGTCCCATTCCGTTTGCTGACGGCGCGCGTTCTCGAGCAACGCCTTGTCACTGTAACCCAGCTTCTGCATGACCGGCAGGCCTAAGGTCAGTTCCACGCCCACCACAGCTTCATCGACCCATACGCGCAGCCCGAGCAACATCAAGGGTCCACATCCGGCCTTGAACTCCAAACTTCCGAAACGGACTTGCTTGGTCACGACGACCGGTCGACTGTTCGCTCCGTACGGCCGTAGCGAAAACGATCCCATGGTCGTGATCTCTGGCGCACCACCCGCTGCCAGTAAGGCCGACACGAGGCCAACAGATGCCACCGAGAAGTCAGCTCCGGAGTCGAGCAACGAGGCCTTTACGGTCAATACACCTTCTACCGTAGCCACCAATTCGACACGTTCCGTATGTACGGGGTCCGTTTTCATTGTGGCCATACGGTGTCCGTTTCCACGTCCACGATCATCGTCACTCCGACCACGGCCGAGGGCTCGTCCGTGTGCCTTGAGGAGCTTCACTGCTTCCTCTTCGGTGATACCCGCGCACTCCCGTCGCGATGGCGCATTTCCGACAGCCGTTCGCTGACGTCAGTCCAGGTGGTGCCTGGGGCGCCGTCGCTGTCGCTGGTGCTCGCGGTGTCGACCGAGTCGGAGCCGTACGGAGTCCGTGCATACCACCTTGGTTCGTCTTTCGGCTTCGCAGCTGGCTTCGTCTCTTCTTCGTATCCGACGAACCGTTCATGCCCGATTGCGTACTCCCGCAACCACCGTACGAGACAGTATACGTCCTTCTTCAACGGCTTGTTACCTGTCAACGCCATCTGCTCAGTCACAGCACGATGGCAGGCACTGGATTCTGAATACAACTCACTATTGGAAAATGACACATGGGAGTTATGTCCAATGCCATTGGATGAAAAAGTTCTTCCCTGTCATTGGGTATTTAATGTAAGATATTTATCCAATGGTAACATTGAGCGTTACAAAGCACGACTCGTAGCACAAGGTTGCCACCAAAAAGATGGAGTCGACTGCGACGAGATTTATGCTCCCGTCGCTCGATATGAGTCATTACGACTTGTACTAGCAATAGTAACTACTGATTTCCACCTGACTTTGGAACAGGGCAAAATATGTATTTTTGACAGTATATAAAGATTCAAAGTTATTAAGTTTCATTCAAGGCTGACTGGACCGATGGCTCGCAGTCAAGGATGCCAGTTCGATTCCAGCAGTTTGAAATCGTTTCTTGGGAGACAGAGCGCCATGCATCTTTCGCCCAGGTCATTGCCTCGACAAGAGGTACCTCATAGAGTCCACTTTGTCGTCCTTCTATGACCATGTTGATCTGATCCAACGCATTCTGTAGCTGACGTTGCTTCACCTTCGCCTTGAAAGACGCAATGATCCCAGCTTCTTGGGGTTGCAGGTGAGTCGTCGTATTTGGTGGTAACACCTTGAGTTGTACGTTTGTTAACACCGTGTCTTCATCCAGTGTGTGCGGCGGGGCGTTGTCCACCAGCAACAGGATGTTACGGTCCTGAGCAGCCTTGCGCTCGTTTATCGACGTCAAGAACGCGTTAAGATTCTTCCGCTCATCCATGCCTTTTCGGCTCGCATCGTAGTCAAACCCGAGGTCGCTTCCGGTACGTCTATTGAATCATCGAGGTTGTACTGCAGTCGCGATGAATAGGGGGTCGACAACAACTGATCCATCGCCATTCGTCGTGAGGGCCATATTGATGCGCTTCGATGACTTCTTAGTTCCCGGGACACGGTTGCGCGTTATGGAACGGTGAGGAGAGAGGCAGTAGAAAAAGGATGTTTTATCCATGTTGTACACGTTCTTGGCACTGAATCCACTTGTAGCTGCCTGGATGTCGCGACGACCACTTTCAACGGCCTCAAGGGACGTCGATCCAGCCTCCCCGTGTTGGACTTTGCTGGTAAGTCCATGCTTTTTCTGAAACTTGAACAGCCACCCTTTTGAAAACGATAGGCGGCGATTCGATGGGATGTCGAGGTCGTCGCAGAGCACTGTAGCTTGCTTGCGAATTAATTCGCCAGTGAGGCACACACCAAGTTCTTCGCACCGCAACACCCATTCCACGAGCCTGGATTCGACGGTGGGCAGAGCGACCGCACGGTCAATGGAGCGGGCTTTGATGTCGGCGCGCAAGCTTCGGGTCTGGTGGTGCTCGATGGCACGTCCGACTGTTTGTTTCGTTGGCGTAGTGCACAGATTAAAGGTTTCTTTGGCCCAAATTGCCAATTCAGTATACGTTAAACTTGGTTGTTGTAAATGTTTAACATGCAAGGCGTGTTTGTCTTCCAACAGCATGCGCGGCTTCATCTTTGAATTGTTAGTGACCTCATCAATCTCACATTTGAATTTTGAAAAAGACTTCGACAATTAATATTATTAATTTCTACAAATTATTGAAATTTGCCTGTTCCAAAGTCAGGGGGAAATCAGTATTCTCAATTTCGAGTGTTATCAAATGGATGCTGTTACAGCGTTTCTAAATGGAACGCTAACTGAGAGAATCTACATGCGACAGCCTGTGGGCTACTTTAGGAAAGGACCTGAGTTTGTTCTTCGCCTAAAGAAGAGTCTCTATGGCCTACGCCAGGCACCTAGAATTTGGTACAATGTTCTACATGCTTTCCTCACAGAAATGGGTTTTGTACGGTGCTACAAAGAGTATTGTATCTACGTCCTAAAAGTGGAAGAATTAAGCCAAGTGTTCAGTACCAAAGAAAGTGACTGGGTCATATTAGTTGTATATGTCGATGGCATTACTATAGTCTCTCCAAGTGTCCAAAGCGTGAACAAAATAAAGGCTGAACTATTTGGCCACTTCAAGATGAAAGATCATGGCGAGATCAGCTACATTCTCAAAATGGAAGTCAAACGTGACCGCAACAATCGACATATGACGATTTCTCCGAATAAGTACATCAATGATTTGATGGAAAAGTTCGGTATGACCGAAGCTTCAACAGTATCGACACCTCAAATACTGTACTGTAGTAGGACAAGAGTTGATTGTTGAAAGCAACATGTCAAGGGAGCAAATTGATGCACAACCCTACGACTACAGGGGACTTATACGATCATTGCAGTATCTCGTCAGAGGCACGAGACCTGACATTGCAAATGCAGTTCGCGATCTAAGTAGATTTCTAACATGCTACAATGAAAGGCATTGGCTAGCGGCCTTGCGAATCCTAAGATACTTGAAAGGAACGTCCACCTATGGACTCTATCTCAATGGTAACACAGAACAGATAGACTACGATGTCTTCACGGACGCTTCTTTCGCGAGTCAGTCAAAAGATCGTAAATCCGTCTCCGGATATTTAATTCGGATGGCAGGGATTTGTGTCAGCTGGGCAAGCTCTAAACAGCACTGTGTAGCACTACCCACAGCAGAAGCAGAATTAGTGGCCCTTAGTGAAGGTTGCAAAGAATGTGAATGGATTCACGCACTTTTGAGTGAAAGGGGTTTAAAGTAAACCGCCCAATTACAGTATGGTGTGACAGCCGTGCTGCAATTGGTTGTGTCAAAAACCCAGGAAACCACAAGGGTACAAAGCATATCGATATTCGAACACTCTTCACTCGTGAACTGTTTGAAAGGAAGGAAATAAGCTTAAATTATTGCTCATCTAAAGAGATGATTGCAGACATACTGACTAAGCCACTGGCTCAGCAACAGTTTGCATGCTTAAGGGCGAAGATGGGTGTGCAAGATCTAGCTATGGTGAAACCAGAGAGCTCTTAGTGGGAGTGTTAGCCATAGGCAGACAAGGATTGAAGTTACATAGTAAAAGCTATATATATGTGATTGAAGCTGGAAGAGCTCCAGGCTTCACATCCCTCGACTACTTCAGTGTGTCGAGGGCCAATAGCTATCTTGTTTTGATCCTACACACACTACTTGAAGGTTGCATATATTGAGAGATATGACAAACTTCAATCAGTGCAGCTAAGGTTGCACTACTTACATGTATG